TTTTTTTTTTTTTTTGCATTTAAAATTTTACAATTTAGAATTTTTAAAAATCTCTTTAACAATCTGTACTGCACAGATACAAACAATTATTTGTTTTACAAAATATAAACACACACGCACACCCCCAGGGAGAGGCAGGAGGATTGCAAATTTAAGCTCAGCCTAGGGAATTTAGCAAAATAGAAAAAAATGGTAAAGAGATGAATGTAACTAAGTGGAAAAGCTCCGGGGTTGATCCTCAGTACCACAGGACTGGGGGAGAGGGAGAGTGGAACCCAAAATTAATCAGTGGTGTTCTTTCCACCTGCCATTTGTGTTGTAAATAAAAACGCTGGTGACTTAGAAATTTACAGTCTTTAATTTACTTAATAGATGTCGGTATCTAGCCAGGCATGGTGGCACAGGCCAGCGATTTCCATCACTGGAGGCTGAGGCAGTGAGGTCAAGGCCAGCCTCAATGACAGCCAGACCCTGTCTCAAAAAAAAAAAAAACAGGAAAATCTATTAGCTCCTTTGTTCCAGTTAAGTATGCAAATACCACAAATTGAATACATATATCTTGAATACCCTTAGTCAAACACGATACCTCTACTAAAGTTTTCATGACGAGAACAACTGTACAGTATATTTCAAATATTTCCAAGCCAAGTATCGTGTAATCCCTCCCCTTGGGAGGCTGAGGCAGGAGTATCATTTCCAGTTCAAAGCCAGCCTGGGCTACATAGCGAGTTCAAGAATGGCCTGGATTACATAGGAGACCCTGTCTCAAACAAACAACAACAACTACACACACACACACACACACACACACACACACACACACACACACAGCTGGGGATTTAGCTCAGTGGTGCTGCCACCTGCCTTGCAAGCACAAGGTCCTGAGTTCGATCCCCTATAACAAAAAATATATATATGTAGCCTGTGATCCCAACACTTGGGAGGCTGATGCAGGAGGTTGTCTGTGAGTTCAAGGTCACTCTGGGCTACATAATGAGTTTAAGGCCAGCCGAAACTACACAGTGAGACTATCTCAAAAAAAAAACCCAACATATGTGTGTTTCCAGAGATTCACTATTTCAGCATTTCCACTTGTTCAGGCTTAGTAATTTGAAAGCTAGTTCCCATCATGTGAGGTTTCACCGTCCCATTTGATGGCAGGGTAATAGCCAACAATAAGTCCACCAAGGTGGTTGTACAGCTCCATCTGCATTATAGCAGTCACCACTTATGTATACAGAGAAAATTCACACTGTTGCAGGAATTCATTTTATAAGCACAGGGCGCTTCTATTACCTGCTAAATTCTGTTCTAAACATTTTACAAGTATTAACTAATTTAATCCTTAAACAATGCTATGAGTTGGGAACTATTATCCAGCCCATTTTACAGAAAATGGCACAAAGTGAGGCAATGAGTGTCCCTCTTGATTATTAAGATGAAATGATTAGTGGCACTTGGTCCCTGGGTTTACTCTGGGGTGAGCATAGCTTGTGTTCCTCAACGCCAGGAATTACTCTTGGACTGACATGAATACTGAAACCTACTTGAGAACACATTCACAGAAACTGAAGGATGAGGCCAAGTGCAGTGGTGCATGCCTGTAACCTCAGCACTCAGGAGGCTGAGACAGGAGGATTGCGAGTTCAACCCCACTCTGGACAACTGAGACCCTGTTTCAAAACAAAATATGAGAAGGCTGGGGATTTAGCTCAGTGGTTCCGCCACCTGCCTCACAAGTGCAAGAACTTGAGTTCGATCCCCGGTTCCAAAAAAAAAAAAAAAATGAGAAAATGGCTGAGGATGTGTGAAAGCCCTGGGTTCAATCCCCAGTACCACCAAACAAATTAAGAAATAAAAAGGTAAAAGAGTTCTCATCTCCTAACATTATTTGGCCAACCCTGTTGTTTCCCTTTGTTCTTCTAGGGGTGTTTCCTTAAATTATAAAGCAGCTGCCACTGACAACTGACCAGAGACTCACTAAAAACAGACAAGATACAGAGAGTATCTTGAGAGTACAGAGAGCTCTGCCAGGGCAGAGCTGAATGAGGAGAGGAATTTAGAAATGACTGTTGACTCTTGAGGGAAACAGTGAAGAGAATTTACCTTCCTGAGACTAGCTCTATTTCTCCTTTAAAAAACGTTAAAAATTCACATCCAAGTATCTTTTCTACACAGGAAGTCAAACATCCGATTGTAAGTAATGACCTCTTGTTTCCTCATCTGTGACAATCTTGTTTGAATGCGTTGCAGAGAACAGAAAAATCACAAGTACAACACAGGCATTCCACCAAGATAAACAGGAAAGCAATCTTGGAGTTCTGGGAAAAGCAGCTGAAAGTCTGAGCCATTTTCTAACTATAGTTTTGAGTTGTACACAATTAGGTGTCGCTGAGAAGCCGCACCTGCTGTGTGTGGGGTGTCCTGCTGGACACACCTGTGCACAGTGCATGCCCCAAGGATTATGGCATGACTTCTCTTCCTACTGAGGTCATCTCCTTACAAAAATAAAATTATTAAATATGACTTTCTAATATGTCCAGGAAAAGTTGCTAAACACCCAACTTTACCAGTTTATGATTTTAAAATGACCTACCAATCTAGTTAACAATTGATCTGCTCAAGAAATATCACATGAGCCAGGCGTGGTGGTGTATGCCTATAATCCTAGCACCCAGAAGGCTGAGGCAGGAGGATCCTGTCAAGTTCAAGGCCAGCCCCTGAACTACATATAGAGACCCTGTCTCAAAAAAATTAAAAAAGAAAAGAAAAAGAAATATCACATGAACATTTACAGTCATCTCTTATTATCCTGAATTTTTTTGGGGGGGTTGTTTATTTTGTTTTTATTTTGAGACAAGGTCTTACTATGTAGTTCAGGCTTGCCTTGAACTTTCAATCCTCCTGATTCAGCCTCCCAAGAGCTGGGACTATAGATATGTCCCAGCACAACTGGCTATGAAATTTTTTTTTTTTTTTTTGGTACCGGGCATCGAACTTGGGTCCTTGTGCCTGCACAGCAGACGGCAAAACCACTGAGCTAAATCCCAGGCCCTGAATTTTTTTTTAATCTTTCACAAACATGGGCTACTCTCCATTATGTATCAGTGTAATTACACTATTAGTTTTTTCCTAACAAATATTACCTTAATGCAATTCAACTTTTGCTACAATGCTAGTCAGTAACATGCCAGTATGGGTCTGTGACAGCTAAATCATTTTTCTGTGGATTTTTCTAAATCATTTTTATGTGAACATACGCAAAAAGAGAGATCGTAATATAACTGACTTCAACTTTGAAGACAAGTTCCACATTTATCAAGTTCAAGAATTATAAGTGTGTTGATACTTTTGTCCTTTGTCCCACCCCCAACTCTGCGCCTTTTCTTATTTTGGGCTGAAGTATTCCCAACCTCAAACGCATATCTAATAGGAAACTTTAAAAATCATATCTACCATGTTATTGTCATGCAAAATTAAGAAAAGTCTCCCTGATACTTTATATCATCCAGCAAGTGTTAAAAGTATTCTGATTGACTTAAAGATTCTGTTTATAGTTGCTTTTCCCAATTCAAGATCTAAACAAGATTAGTACATTGAATTTTCATGTGTCTTAAGGACCTTTTCCTGGATTTTATTTCACTAGTATCCTCACTCTGTTTTCATACCAAACTTAGCCATTTATACTATAAAATGTTCCTCATTCTGAATCTAGCTGATTTTTTTGGCATTCCTTTAATTTCTGGAGATAACCAGTGAGATCTAGAATGTCCATTTAATGCAGCCTCTCTGTTTTAGGTAAGGGTATGTCATAATGCCTGTGTGTGCTTCCTATTACATCTCATCATGAGGCATGTTATGCCTGGGATATTCATTTTTAATGATGAAATTCTTCTGGTTTACTGAAATGATATCAGCTTGAGTCCTACATTGTGAGGTTTTTTTTTCCATCATCTTCACTCAAACATTTTAGCATTGATTGATGAGTGTGACTCAGTACAATATTGCATTAAAGATTGTGAAATATGAATTCCTAATTTGATCCTTCCTTCTGAACTTATTGGCTATAATTCATCCTAAGGAACTTCTTTTTTTTAATCTGCTCTTTGGTTAACCAGAAATACCACTTGTAGATGACAGATAGTATGTGT